GCCATTATGAATAAAAATCACAAAACAGTTTACATTAAATAATAATTCGAAAATTTTAGATTAAAAGTTTTGAAATAAATATTTTTATTTAGTAACTACCTATGAAATGTATAGTATGAAAGAAAAACTGCAATTTTAATTTAGTTCTGATTTTTACTATAACTAAAGATTTCGAATAGACTTTAGTAGAAGCAGGAAAAATATTTTTTTATCAAAAAATAAATAAGTTTTATTTATTACATCTAAACATTTTCTGTGCTTTTTAAGTGATATCTGGCATTAAAGGATGGAATAATTAAAAAAAAAATTTCAATTTTCATTTTAGTATGAGGTTATTATTGACATTTTACACAGAGCTGATTCTGCAGCATAACATATACTAAAAAAATTCTTGGTGAGAAGTATCAAAAGCCTTTGATATATCAAGCATATCTGCTTCATAAAATGTGGAAAAAAAGCATACTTGCTTCATACAATGTGGAAAAGTTTTAAATATTGCTGTCTGGGAAAGTTTTTAAAATTGTTGAACCATTTTTCCAGCAGTATTAAAGTTATCCATGATGGACAACACTCACCCTAATTTCCAGTTACTTCTTGAGTACCACAAGATTCCATTCTTGGTCCTGTGTTGTTTCTCCTCTATCTTAATAGTCTTTCTATTAATTTTATCTTTTATGTTGACTGATTGCTATAAGCTATACTACTTTACGGTGACTACAATGCTGGTGATTAGCTAATGACACAATTATAAAGTCTAGTATTGACAGAAGCTATCACTTTTCGTTTGCTTAGAATAGGTTGCTCATTTTGAATGTGGTATTTAGACAAAATCCAAAATTATGTTGTCAATGTTGTTGGACTTGCTCTGTTTGCTTAGCATATGCCTCTGTCAATTGTCATAAATTTGTATCTCTATCTCTACTAATACAACCATGGTTGTTGCTCAAGGAACCTATCATTTGCTTTAGCTACCAAAACCTAATCTCTCCTGACTCATCATTCATCAAAATGCATCCTTTTAATGCAGCTGTCCCTCATGCTCAATTTATTTAAGTATGAAACTTTTTTTCTTGAACTTTAATGGTTTGCAATTCTCTACTGTCATCATGTTTTTTTGACTTAAACTGTTACAATTATTTAAATTTGTAAAACCTTTTCTTGCTCTGTAAATTTTTTTTTCTGATAAATTTTAACTTAATTTGGGTTGCAGTCTTGATAGGAGTGAAATTTTTTTTTAAAAAAAAAAAGGAAGAAAAAGTCCTTTAAATAACATGTCTGGAGTATGGAAGATATGCAGTAAAGGTGGTATTTAGCTATAATTAAGATATCTCCATTAATCTTTTGAGGTTTAAAAATGGTTTTAAAAGAATGAATAACTTGTTTTTTAAGTTTTTTTAATATGCGGGTAGTAAGAATAAACCTTCCACATTACAGCAGGTAATTAATAAAATTGCAGAGTAGTTTCATCCATTTTAAAATGTGGCCCTTTTTGGTTTGATAAATAATTCATTTTCTTGTATTACAGATTGTTATAAATTAAATTAATTGTTCTATTCATATCTTGATATCTAGAAAGTGACAACTCTGCTTTTTTTATGAAACATTCTTTGTTCTTATTCAAAAATATTTCCAAGTATAACTTTAGTTAGTAGAGAACTCCATTTTGTAATTTTCAGTTTAAAATAAAAAAATGTGGTTTTTAACAAAAAAAATCAAAAAAATAACAAAAATTAAAAATAACACAGTTATTAGTTTTATAAAACAGTAATTATTTCTTTAAATTAAGCGGTAACATCTTTTATTGATATTTTACTCATATAATTATAGTTTTTAAATTGTTTGATGTTGTTAAACATTTAAATTTTGTTCACACTTGTTTTTTCTATATTTTTTTCTACATCTTATTTTATCATCTCAGGTTAACTTAATTCTTTTAAATTGTTAGTATAAAACATTAGATTGGCAGTTTTAATTGCCACCTCTGTGTACAGATTTATTAATCTATTTTTTGTTAAGCAATTTCTCAATAAATAGATTAATTGTTTCCACCAGAAGCCACTCTACAGAAATCATTTCCATATTAATTTATTACATAGCTTATATGCTAATTTACCAAAAATTTTATTAACATTTATTAATTTATTTATAAATTATTATTATTAATTTTTATAAAAATTTAATTTGTATGGATTAACAAAAAATACACTATTAGTATTTGGCTCAGTACTAAATTGCATCATAGATAGCTTGATTATAATTATATTATATATGTTATTACTATTTTTTTTTTTTCCATTTAAAGAAAATATGTAAGAATATGTAACACAGGCAATTTCCACTATCCAAAATTAAAATAAAGTTCTAAATTTGGTTTTTAAATTTTTTAGTAAAAGTAAGGAGTAAAAAGTAAAATAAAATGATAGCGATAAATAAATATATAAGATAAAAAGTAATTTTTTTTTAAATTAAAAAAATGATTTTTTTAAATTTCACTTTTTTT